GCATTGTCGAAAATATTTTAGTTGGCTAGAGAATGTCCGAATATGCCCTCCATTAAATTTTCAAAGTGATCCGTTGTCTGGTTCACCAGAAACGTCTAATGTGCCATCCACCGTGAATCAGCCTGTATAGCTTGTTGAAATAATATTGTTGGGTTTACTGATTACTACATAAGGACACAGCAAAAATAATTTCAGGTAGGCAATATTGTGAAATTAATTTTTATATAGCTGAAAATTGTTTTATATACAGCTATAACAGTTAAACATGTATTTTAAAATAATAGATAAGGCAAAATTGTAAAATTAATTTAGGTTGGTAAACCTGTATGGGTGGTACACCTGGATGGTTTACCTGTATGGGATATCTATATAGCATAAATAGGGTTAGCTTCGCGTTAGTTTCTAATTTCAATCTTCCTCTTTGAAGATGATCACTTGGTGATCGAAACACATGTCGAGGTGTTGAAAATAACGATTTGATGTTGGGAAAAAACTCCAGTAATATTCATTACTACACCAAAGGTTCCAAACAGTGCATCATAAGTTTAAGAACTCTTTCATCTGGAGAATTGCGTTTATGTGGAATAAACTTCTTGAGAATGTTTTTCCAAATTAATATCCAGCTATTCAAATCCAATGTGAATCGTTGCTTTCGCACAGACATCGCTCTGAGAGCGTCTCAAGGATTTTTCTGTAGTGTTTGTGTTTTGTCCGTAAAAAAAAATAGAAAAAAAAAAGAACTATTCTATTGGGATTTTGAGAAATGTTGATTTTCATTTGGTTAATTTAGTCGTCTATGTAAAGGAATATATGATCTGTTCAATTGTACTTATGTATTCAAACAAAGGGAATTATTATGTAATTCTTCGTAAATTTGTAAATCTTCTAGAAATTTCAATCAATTGAAAAATTTTGTATTGACTTCTTTCAGAATGTGTGAATTACGATTAGGGCTGAAATTATTTTGATTGAAAATTATATGTTGACCAAAAGCTGATTTGTTTGGTTTATTCAAGTGTTCGTTTATTCGAATTTTCAAAGGTCTGCAAGTCCTTCCAATGTATGAAGCTTCACAATCATTGCAATTGAGTTTGTAAATTCCACTTTTTGATAACTTGTTGATTTTATCTTTGGAGTTGACTAGATGTTCACTCAAGTTATTTGAACTGTTGAAAGAAATTTTAGCATCATTTATTTTATTGCTAATCAGACTGGAGACTTTCTGGGTAATATTTTCATTTAAAAAAGGTAACGATAAATATTTAGAAAGTTCTTCAATAATGGAGTAAGTGAGATTTTATTCTCTTTCGTTCTTGACCTTAAAAAAAGATTGCTACAAGTAAATGAAAAATAAGTAGAAATAGAAATATATCACAAGAAGCGAAAAGAAAAAGTGATCACAGTTGAAAAGTTCTAGTGAGAATACATTTTAAAATAAAACTTTGAGAACTGTGATTAATATCGCACATATCACATATTGAATTATAGTTGTTACAAAGTATTGACACTGGTGCTTTCGAACTGTTATTTGTTCTGACAAGATCACAGTAAAATGTCGTTTGGTATCTGGAATTAAGACATGGGGTGCGGAAGTTGATCATTTGTAAAAGAGGGGCACACGAGATCTTATTGTTTAGCAGATTGTGAAGAAAGGATATTGTGACAAAAAGTCGTCGTGTATTCAGAGATATTACATTAAATTGATTCAGAAGGATAGAATAGTCGGTTCCCCTCTGAGGACATATTCCTGTGACCTTGAAAGACAGATATTTCAAAAAAAAATTGAACAAAATCAATATGATGTATGTGGAAATTGTAAATTGGATACCATATTAACACGCCGTATTCTAGTTTAGACCTCACATAGGCATTAAACAGTGTTATAATCGTATTAATATTCTTGAACTCTGGTACTCCCTATAATAAAGCCCAACATTCGATTCGCTGATGAAATAGCCTGGTCTATGTGGGAAGTGAAAGTGAATTTATAATCAAAAGTGATTCCAAGATCTGTCATCTCATTTACTCGACAAACTGGAATGCTGTCAATAACATAAGAACATTCTATTATATTCTTTTTTCTAGAAAATGATAAAATGTAACATTTCGATATTTTCAAACGTAAATGGTTCTTGGAACACTAGTCGAATACTAAATCGATTTCATTTTGTAAAATTAACTATATCGAATGTATTTTGTACGGTACCATTGAAGAACATTTCTTAAGAGCTTTTAGATAAGGTATCACAAGTAGGGGGTTGCCATTTAAGAATGTGAAGTTGGGGTGGCTGGGGGCGAGGGGGTGAGTGAAAACAAGTTTGCTATTACATCATTTTGTTTCCCTCTACCTATTATGGAAGTTGTTTTCAGCGATTTCTTATATTTTATTTGGTTGCTCAGATATAGCCATTGTAAGTTTTCAAATTGTCATCCTGTATATGAAATTACTGTCTCGTGTCTGGAACATTCAATAGGTTTTCTTTCTTGTGATTCCCAATATCCCCAGTATCGATTCAGTATGTTCCTGCACCATATTTCAATTCTTCATGGCCTCACCAGAAAATCTCGATGGTACTTTTGGTAACCTCAATGCTTACTGATCTGCTTACTTCGTTGCTCAAATTATTGTTCTTGCAGATTGCAGGATTCCATACCCGTCTGTTTGAAAAACGGGTGAGTATTGATCGAGCGGGTAGCTGCAATGTAAATTTCTCCTCGCAAATTTTCACCAATAACGGATATCATAGGTTTTTTTTTAATTTCATTACACCAAAAAACATGAAGTCATTTTGAATGATAGAAAAGTGAAGTTGCATGAGTTAGTTGACATTGTAATGATATCAAAAGAACGTGATGGCTTCACATTGCATGAGCATTTGGCTATGACAAAGCTCTGTTCAAAGTGGGTGCCGCGCAAGCTCACTGTTGACCAAAAACAAGAACGTCATGATGCTTCTGAGCAGTGTATGGCCGTGTTCAAACATGACAAAACGATCGTCATCTGAGTAGAAAGCAACTGGTGAATCTTGTCCAAAGTGCCCGAGAGCACAACAACCGGCTAGAAAGGTTATGGCCTCTGTATTTTGGGATACGCATGGTGTAATAGTCATCGATTATCTTGAAAAGGGAAATACCTTTAACAGTGAATATTATATGCATTATTGGAGCGTTTGCAGGCCGAAATTGTGGCAAAACGACCACATTTGAAGAAAATGTGTCACAAGTCAAGGAAAACGATGGCAAAATTGCATGAAATGGACTTCGAATTGCTCCCGATGAATAAAGCCAATTTCGAAACAAAAAACGCGGTTTCTTTCTTAGGCCCGGGAATTTTCAGCCCAGGTGTTAGACATATAAGTTGAAATTGAGAACAAATAATAGATGAAAATATATTCTTGCCATTCATTCATCTTTTATTTCATCATGTTTGATTACTTAATCTGAGGGTATTTATGGTTAGTGAGGCGCTATTCACTTCTAGGAATGAAGAGAGTTTCGAAATTGATGATATATCTGAAAAAGGTACTAACAGAAAACCTCAATGAATACACTTTCTTTTTTGCAGTGTTCCTCAAGATTACAAATTGAATCCTGGAGCTGTTGAATCAATTTTTGAACAACCAGAACACCCAAATAATATCCTGATAGGATATAACAGGGGCTTAATTGTGCTCTGGAATAGAGTTGATAACAGTGCTGTTAAAACATTCATTTCCAATCAACAGTTGGAATCGATTTACTGGAAAGAAGATGGAAGGCATTTCCTCAGCTCTCATAATGATGGTAAGTAGTGGAAAAATTTGACAATCATGAAATCTAATATCGCACTATTCAGTTAATATAAATCTTCACAATTAATTTTAGGTAGCTACATGGAATGGGATATTGATCAATCAGAAAAACCTTGTGGAGAACCAGTTACGACATATGGTCCCTACTCTTGTAGGGCCATTCCTAAAATTTTGACGAAAGACATGAATGACGAGTCTCTTATAGTTTTCTCGGGTGGTCTGCCTAGGGCGAATTATAGTGATAAATATTCGGTATCTGTTGTGCATGGAGATAAACATGTGGCTTTTGATTTTACTAGTAAGGTGAGTAGGATTTTTCTCAATTATCAACATTGCTGTTTCATACAGTTTGTCCAGTAATTGAGATAAAGAATCTGGTTTGAAGAAGTGTCAATTAATTTGTGCTTTTATTTGTTCACCTAAGCATATCCGTCAAATTAAGCTACAGTTATATTGGAAATGAAACTTTCTGATGAGTTATTTTTTAATTTTCAATTGATCATGAAAAATATATGAATATTTCAAATGATGGAAATATTGAATCAATAAATGAGAAAGTTTCATTTAACATTTTATATCCAAGATATAAAATATTATTTTTTCATTTCGGGCAGATTGGCATTGAAAAATCTGAAAATGATAATGACAGTGAAGCAGAACAATTTGGAAATAAGGTATTTTTGTTAGCATCTATACTGTTTTGGAAAGATCTCAACCACTATGTGTTGGCAAAACTAAAATCGAGTTTGAATAATTACGACATTTTTGTGAATTTTGTAACTTCTAAACAACACGGAAAAATATATCAACTTTCCGTCAAGTTTTATAGAAATAACTGCTATGATAAATATTACGATAGCGGTGACTAGAAAGAGTTTTTGTATATTTTTGGGATAAACGGTACTAATTCATTTCACTGATAATACTAATCTATATCCACTCGATGTTCGATAAGGATTTATGGAATTATAGGTAATATGACTCTTGGGTTACTTGAAAAAATCGTTTTTATGTATCAGAATCCCAAGCGTGTGGTTTTTAGCGATGATATTGATTGTTATCTTCAAAAGTATTATTATCATAATTAATATATTTAATTTAAAAAAACATCTCATATAATGTATGAAGTTGAAGAATTAGAAA